TTGGGAGTTTGATTCCCCACTCTGCCTCCTTGACAAGGGTTGGACTCCATGATGCATAAGGTCTCTTCCAGCTCTGCAGTTCTAAGACGCTAAGAAACTGTCTTGGATCTTTTTAGAATACAGTATTTAGAATATTCCTCCATTTCCCCCCCTGTAAATTTGGAGGTCCTCCCAAATCTGTAGTTACCTTTGTCTTATGTGTGTCTGGATTTGATTATATGATAGTAGGAGAATGTTGCAGTGCATGTTGGCTTTTGGTTATAATAAATAAATTATAACCTACAGTACCGTTTAACAGAATTTGCATATATTTATTTAGATAAAAACTGCTATTTATACAGAGTAAACTTTGTTGTTCTCCCATATATGTGTTTGTGCGAGCAAGTGATATTCAAATAACCACTGACTTGGTTAAAATATGAAATAACTTTTACTAAATATAGATATCTATAAAACATAACTTATAGTGCTTAGACATTTGGTATGACAGACATATTTTCTCTGGTAAATAATTATCTCATTGTACTATTGTTATACTTGTAAGCTTTATTTAGCCCTGTTATATATTTTAATCAGTTACATCCTTGTTCCTGTCTGAAGCACTGTACATATTGTCATATTAAACCCTGTCTTACTTATACATTTAACCCTGTCAGCCCTATCAGTTCCTGTCTAACAGACTTCTAACTGATGCCTGCTTTATATAGCAGCCTGACTGTCTACAGTCTCATTCTGATTGATTAGAATCATGTCATATACAAATACAACAGTCTGGTTCTAGCAAACACATTTAAATGTTCATTCACATATACATGCATATACATTCTCTCTATACAGCATCATTAAAACTAAATTCCCTTTCAAAAATATATAATATTATGCAGCTTAGGTTGTCAAAGTTTTAGCAGATGAATTCTGAAACACAGACATCATTTTAAGGAGCATGTGCATGTAAGCCAGCGGTGAGTGTCAGCTTCTTGGAAATGTTTTATTTACTCTATGAGCACAAATTCCTTGTGAGTACAAACAGAAAAATGAGACCGGAAATTGCTTGCAGGTTTGCTCTTAACACAATGGTTGCACACCTGCGGTCAGGTGGATACTAATTCCATCCTGCCCATCTCTACGCCTAAAGCTTTCTTGTACGTTCTCCTGTCAGCATGAATACCCTTTGTATTTAGTAGGCTAGGAATATATATTTAGAAGCATAGGCCATAGTCATTCTCAACCGAATGCCCTCCAGGTGTGTTGGGTTACAATTCCCATCATCCCCTGCCATCATGGTGCTTGTACTGGGTTAGGGACTCATCTGTACTTTGTAGTCTCATCCCAGTGGCTGGAGGAGTACATTATAAACAAATCTCTAAGTTTGAACTTCAATTTCAGTTTCAAGGCAAAAGAGCTCATACTAAGGCATTTTGAATTAAAGGGGGTTATTTTGCATCTGTTAAACAGATTTGAGGCCTCCCTGCTTTAACACTGGGAATCTTACTGAGACTGCTCTCCAATCCACCCTTAATGTCTGAGAGCCCTGCAGAATTCCAACAGTAGCTACATGTCCTCAGGCTTTCCTCTCCCAGCTACCAGAGCTAGACACCTGCCTTTTTATAAAGCAATATACAATTTTGGTCACTCCTTGTTTTTTAAAAAAATGATGTTGTAGGGTTGAAAAGAGAGTAAGAAGCAGAAGGCAAAAAAAAATTATGTCGAAACACCATTTAAAGGAGTAGCATTTGTGGGGAATGTTCATTTTGGCAACAAGTGAGAGGCATTTGGGACGGCTATGAAATAATGGATGATGTGAATCAAGTTCATACAAAGATAATTTTCTCCCCCTAAGATTAAAACCTATGGGGAGATGGAGAGTATTAGATTGTGAAAAGAAAACATTTCTTCAGAAAGTATGTGATTGACTTGGGGAATTCACTATCTCAAGAAAGGATGATGGACAGTGTCTCAGAGGGTTTTTAAAAACTCATAATTTCTCAGTTGCTCCTGGCCCCAAGGGCTCTGCAGACTACCGCCAGTGACCACTGCCATCAATGCCAGTGGCTGGGGGGGGGCGGCTATACCATTTGCAAACATTGCTTGTGGACTTGATAAAGAGCCCTAATCAGTCATGGCAGGTGGCAGAATGTCACACAAATTGGACTTTGGGGCTGATAAAGCACACTTAATTTTCTTATAAAAGCTTGGAAACCTTTCTTTCTGGGATGAAACTTCTAGACAAGCATGGGTGTATTTGGTGAATTGTAGTCCTAAAATATAACTTTTCCTAGCTCTGCTTATACCTCATCTGAAGTTCAGATGTGTAGAAGATCTTGAGGGATTTTGCCACCCTTGAAAGCTGCCTCCCACGACCCAAGAGAGATGCTTCAATGTCACAGGAGATGCTGGGGTACTATCAATGAGACTGCGCACAGTATTCACAACACTCCCCCACAACTGCTGCATCTTTCTCATAGCTGTTGATGATGCCAACATAAAAATCTTGCCCTTCTACTGAGCAATGGTGAGATTCTAAAATGTGGTGCTCTTCAACTGGCCTTGCCAACATAAAAATCTTGCCCTTGTACTGAGCAATGGTGAGATTCTAAAATGTGGCACAGCCTTGCCCAGCGGACCCTGGCCTTCTTTGCTTACTCTTCTCAGCAGCTGGTAGCTTCATACCTTTGAGCCACGCTCATTAAAGATAATCTCCACATCCAGGATCTTCCCAAATTGCTGGAAAAGAAAGGGAAAGACAGTCATTGCCAGGCGCAATAGCCAGCCCCTTCCTGCTCTGAGATCAGAATTTGTGTAAAAACCACAAACTATGATTTTATGCCAGGGTCAATTAACAAATACTTAGGTGTATTCCTGACAATATTCCCAAACCATGTCCAATTATATTCAGCATGACCGGAGATTTAACTGAGCTTGTAACTATACGGGGAGGGGGCGAGTGGAAAATACTACAGGAATGGGGTGTGTTGATTCACAGTTTTGGTTGATCACATGATGCAAAGAGAAATGTGAATCAGGTCAGATTCTCCCTTGTCCGCCGCCCCCCTTCGCATCCATGACTTTTCCCTCTACCACTGGGGCATCTACTTTTTTAAAGCAACAAATCAATTCACATCAATTCAGGCATGTAATCGCATGAACCAATGCAGAAAAGCTGGGCTAGCACACATTCAGGAATGGCGAGCGAATCCAGTTGGTCCTTTTAATTTTTTTATCATGAAGGTGAAGCAAAATCCTCCATTGGAAAGTCTCCTCAGTGTGACTGAATGAACATGAATTTATTTGCATTTTCTTCATTATGTCGTTGCACCCTGATACTTATTGTTATGTCTCCATCCTAAGGAATCCTAGAATTTGTCATCTAATAGCATTCTTTACTACAGATCTCAATTGCACTTTCCTTATCTATAACCCTAGAATTGTCTTCACAGGGGAGTGGTGAAGGACTGACTCACCCCAAACATCTGTCGAAGATCTGGGTCTCGGAAGCGGAAGGGGATGTTGGAAACATGGAGGCGTTTGGGCTGGGACTTGTTCTCACTGTTTTCTGTTTCTTCAGTCTCAGATGACAGCTCGGGTGCAGGGACCTCTTCTGTTTGCTGTGAGGAGGGGTAGAGAGGGGTCGGGTGGAGAGGAAAACGAAGCAGGATCACAAACACCACTGTGGCAACCCTTTCCTTTGCACAGAGGGTGTGTGGCATAACAGAATTCTGGGCCTGGGAGGCTGGCATTTTTGAAGGCTTTCTCGAGGCACGAGGCAAAAAAAAAAAGGTGGCTGAAACTCTTAGCAGTAGGTGGTATCTAATCCATCAAATGGTCACGGGGGAGGAGATGGAGTTTTCCAACATTACAACTGCACTCTAGAAAGTCCAAAGTTTGTAGGGGAGGGGATGGAAGGATGCAAGGAGAGACCCACTATTATGGAGGGATGGGTCACATCCAGCAGCAACTCCATGGAATACTGTACTTACTGTGAGCTCCAGAGGAGAAAGCAGGCAAGCCAATGCTTATGTGTAAGGTACACCTTGCACTCTAATCCAGTTACTAGATATAACTGGCCACCATCAGTCATCCCCACATTGAATGTTTGAAGTTGCTTTTCACTGGATCCCACTACTGGTCCATCTACCAAAACTATCTGTTTTTCTAGCAAATAGGAAGACATCTTTCCCATCTTTTCTCTAGAACTCTTACCTGACATGTCAGTGGTTGAAACTGCTTAACATTAAAGGAAAATGTGGACAACTGACAATTAACATCCTTAACATTAAAGGAAAATGTTTACAACTGACAATCTGGATTACAGCTCTCAGAACCCCCCAAGCAGCATGGCCATAGTTGGGGGGGGGGATTCAGGAAGTTGCCTGCCAAAAAGGTGATTTCCCAAGTTCTGCTTAGAAGTGAATTTTGCCACCAATTTCAGTGGCATTGCTATCTGATAAAATTGAGAAAATAAAGTATTGGATTGGACCATGAGACACCCAGGCTGATATTCTGTAGTCTCCGACATATAATTTGATAAGGCAGCCTTGGGAAACGGTTATTTCTCAACACACATAATTTGACAAGGCAGCCTTGGGAAACGGTTATTTCTCAACTAACCTTCACCCCTGCAAGGACAGAGTATGAAACGATATATGGCAAATCTGTAGAACATTCATAAAAGGACACGAAAGAAAGAAAACGGTCTGGGATTGTTTGTTTTGAAATCAATATTCAATTCAGTCTCTGTAGGGTACAACCTGCATGTTTGCTCATTCAGTGAATTCAGCAAAGACATGGATTTATTGCCCTTTATTTTTGTATTTTGGTATGGGGTTGCAATTGTCACAGCACAGCAGGACATTTGAAACCTTCATGGAACACTGGTGATTTCTGTGACTGCCTTTTCAATGCATGTATGGGATGGAATAGCCGGCTGGATAGCTCTGTGAATTAGGCATCTTGGCTGTGGAGCCACAGGTCGGGGCTGTGCATCCCAGTAGAGCCAGCCTGTAAGACCGTGAGTAACCCTCACAGTCCCAGGATGCCCCCAGGTTGGGGGTTTAGTTCCCAACTGTGCATCCGAGTAGAGCCAGCCTGTAAGACCATGAGTAACCCTCACAGTCCCAGGATGCCCCTAGAAGAAGGGAATGATAACCTACATTTGAATACTATCTAGAAAATCCTGTAAAGGATCTTCATAAGTCAGAACTGACTAGATGGCACACAATTATTTGCATTTTATGAGATGGAAGAACATTTGCTTTGGGGCTGGGTAGCCAGTCTCAATTTCCTCTAAACTAGCAGATATATGGAGGAGTAAGGTAAAGGTTCCCCTTGACAATTTTTGTCCAGTCGTGTCCGACTCTAGGGGGCGGCACTCCACTCATCACCGCTAGGTTGGCGGGAGCTGGGACAAGCGATGGGCGCTCACTCCGTCGCGTGGATTTGAACTTATGACTGCTGGTCTTCTGACCCTGCAGCACAGGCTTCTGCGGTTTAGCCCACAGCGCCACCACGTCACCACATACGGAGGAGTAAGAATATCAAAATCATCCCAATGTATTACGGCTAACACTTGACTGTTATGCTCTATACTTAGGTTCAAGTCCTATGACAGGGATGAAGAAAATTTGGCCTCTGCCTGTTTGGGGCTTCAGCTTCCAAACGCCTGACCACACAAGCCAATGACAATGGAGACATAGTCTAAAATGTTTGGATGGATGAAAAATCCCCATTAGTGTTATGAAAACTCTGATCTTTCTGAGAAACCATTCAAGAAATAGGCTTCTTTGGATCAGCGGTTCCCAAACTTGGGTCCCCAGTTGTTCTTGGATGCAACTCCCAGAAGTCCTTGCCGACGCAGCTAATAGTGAAGGCTTCTGGGAGTTGTAGTCCAAGAACATCTGAGTTGCCCAAAGTTGGGAACCACTGCTTTAGACAAAACCAAGGGCCAGTCTATGAATGAGAGTAGGGTCTCCTCCAAAACCAAGGGTCAGTCTATGAATGAGAGTAGGGTCTCCTCCCATAATTTCAGAACAAAAAAATTCATTCCACTCCAGAACTATCTTCTGTAGTAGCTGTTCTACTGGTCATTATGACAGAGCATGAATTAACTTATTTCCAAATTAACATTTTCCCTACTTCACTTCTGGCTCATTTTTTTCCTTTTGTACTGTGTTTGTCAAGTCTTACATGGCCAACCATTTGCAGCATTTTAGCAGGACGACAGTATATCAAAAACACATTAATATAATTATGATATAGACCTTTTAGTACCAGAAAGTTTCAGGATTCAAATTATGCTCTGTGAAAGTCAACCCAAATGAAACGATCAGCCTCACATTAGATAGAAGCGTTTAAGTGCAGGTTCAGTGTCTTCTGTCATTTGACTCTGTTAATTAAAAACAACACCGAACTTATTCCATAATAGAACATACTGTGCCAAAAAAGATGAGCCTAATTTTCTCCTTACGAAGTACTTCATCTACATTTATATTTTCTTCTGTGGAAGGAGATTTGAAACAATGATGTCCAGCAAAAGCTGTATTATTTTCTCACATAAGAAGCCATATCACACTAACCACGGCACAGCTAAACACGAGACCTTTCTGCAGTTGGTAATTGCATGAACAATTATTTAAGAATAGGTAACAAATTTGGAGAGTGCCATTGAGAACTAAACTGCAGCAGGGTCGAAGAGATAAACCCTCATGCTCATAGGCTTCCAATCCAGATCAATTTCTCACAATTGCTACTTTTTGAGAAACCACTCATACAGTTAGTTGCTAATCGTATGAATGTCATGGCTTTCTGTTGGGTCCTTTTCTTCTTATCATATCACGTAAAGGTTCCAAGAGTGGCTCATTCTTTCCCATGCCACCAAACCTCGTTGCTGAAAATCAGATCCACTTTTCTCCCCTCGCCCTCCTTCTTTCCCCCAGTCCCATCATCCAGGATGAGAATATTCCAGTCCAAACACAAACTTTTTATCTTGGGTTAATGAATAGAACAGACAGACGCGCACACACACCAAACACACAGGAAAACATTAGTGGAAAGAAAAGAAGGACTAAAGGAAAGAGGACACAATTTACGGCATTTGAAGGAGAACACTGGGGAAGGGAACCACCCCAAACTTGTACCTCCCTCTTCTACATGCAGATGGCCCCTGCTTGGCTCACGATGCAAACACCACCATGATGCAACATTCCAATGGCACAGCACAGTGTGTGCAGCCTCTCTTGCAATGTCTTAAGTGCCAGGGGTTGGGGTGGGGGAGAAGAGCCAGAGAAGCGATTAATCTGGCACAGGACAACAAAGTTGAACTTGTCTTTGAATTTCCTACTTAGTCTCTTCCCAGTGGTTCCCAAACTTGGTTCCCTACATGTTGTTGCAATTCACTTTCTAGAAGCCCATTGGCCTAACAAATGGAAGTTTGCTAAGGCTTCTGGGAACTGAAGTCCAACCACATCAAGGGATTTCTAGTGGTTTGGGAAGCACGGGTCTATACAATCAAGTCAAAAGGGTCAGAATCTATTTGGGACATGCATAACCACCAATGGAAACAACAGTTAACAACAGACATGTACAATGGATTTTTGAGAGGCTGCATGTGTGCACAAGAGAGTGTCATATTATCAGCAGACCAGATAGTTGCCGGCACACAATAAGTGAATGACAGGTAAGGCTAAACCTGTGACCTTGTTCTCACAAACAGCAATCAAGGATGTCAATGTGTGTTTGGACTGTACTGCTTCAGACTGCACATGATGGCAGGTCCACACCTCATCCTTTCTTACACATCATCCAGAATCTTTCTCTCTCTCTAGTCCTTTTCCCAGTAAAAATGCTGTCTCTGTTTTTCTTGATACCAGGCTTGGTGGGGCTCAACAAAGTCCTTTTCCCAATAAAAATGCTGTCTCTGTTTTTCTTGATACCAGGCTTGGTGGGGCTCAACAAACATTTCCTGTGAGTTTCCCTCATGAATCAATGAGGCCAGGAAAAAGGGAAATAAATGGGCTCTCGAATATGGCACCCACTGGGATATTCTTTAGACGCACAAGGGGAAAACAGACATGCACAAAGTTTAATCAGGGCCCAAGTTTTCAGGAAAGGGGTTCTGGCTGTTGTTATTTATTTTACGTATCGCATTGTCTCTTTTGCTTCTTCTCTCCTTATCCCAGATTGTGGCTCTTCTCTTGCCACATCCACACACAAGACATATTTCCAATATGCAAGGAGCAATACATGTGTAGGTGACTTGTTGAACTCCACAATGAACACACACCAGGTGAGCATGCTTATAGGCTCAGAGGCTGGGCTGTGAGTGTATCTATCCAAGCACACTGTGCCTTGGGCAAGAAGTTATCTGTAATGTTGCTATTAAACACAACACATACACAAACACAGGATATCACAAATGCAAACAATCCACCAGGCAGTAGCCAGCCCCCTTTGGTCTTCTCTAGACCTTTCTCTGTGACCCACCCTCCCGCTGCACCCGCCCCGCTCAACATCGTTTCCCGTGCCCTCAGGCAGAAGCGACTCTCAAATGCTACAGACTCTTTGCTTATAAAGACAAGTTCAACCGGGATTATATTTCCCTCACGAGACC